TTTCAACAATTTTTTTGTGTATGCAAAAGGCAAGCACTTGCTTTCAACATAATGTTTAAAACACTTCTTATGCTTTTATTTCAGTCGCCTTGAAAACATACTAGTAAACATCTAAACATATTGTAAAGATTTAAAATTCGGGGTGTGTATACATATATCAACAGGAGTTATGAATTATGTATATCCAGAGCCTATATAAATTAGATTTTGAAGAACAAGCATCCCAGTAGTCAGGCAGGTCATAATAAGACAGTCCATGTGAAATGTAAAAACTACCTTGAATAAATTATCCATAAGTTAACACTCTCATTAAAGTGACATTTATTATTTCTGGGTTTTGTGATGCTGCTTTAATGCATTTTGACTAACTATTCTAACTGTGCATTAAGAAACCATTTCAGGCTTTTTTTTTTTTTTTCCCTATTGGAATTAGCTGACTTTTATTTACATTTGAACTAAGATAATCTAAAATAATGTATCATTAAGAAACAACCACCCACTTCCCAAGATAGAATGCCATTTTCTTTTACTCCAGAACATTTCATTAAAGCAGGATATAACTTTAGTAATTATTTTTGCACAGAATGATCCTAAAATTAATGGTCCATTGTAAGACTTTTGAAAATTGAGAGACTGATAATCAACACAATCTTAAATGCTTTGTTTACTTGATGAAAAGGAGTGATCCTTTAATTCTCTCACACATATTAAAATGTTTTTCCAGACTTTCTGTACTAGTGTTTTACATAGTCAAGTGCTTGAGGTTACCTAAAATAAACACTCTTGAGATCTTATTGCAAATGTTTGCAATTTATGATATAAACTGATTTGTGAAGAAATAACAGGATCCCATGTCTCTGAAGCAAAAAAGGCATTTTCAGAAATCAAAATAGTTCCAAAATGTGAACAGTGCACTGTACTAAAGTATTACCAGCTGAGGATCTAAAAGTTATAAATCTAGGGGGAAGCCAGGAATAGATGTATATCATTTCAGCTTCAAACAAAGGGTTGCTAAGCAAAGGTTGGCAGTTCAAACCCACCAGTCACTGTTTCCAGAAAGCTGAGACAAGCTGCTTCTGTAAAGATTTACAATCTCAGAAAACCTATGAGTCAGTTCTACTCTGTCCTATAGGGTCGCCGAGTCGGAGTCAATTTTAGGGCAATGGCTTTGGTTTTGCTTTATTCAGGCAAAAGCCTCCGATCTTACTGGGCCATAGGGTCTTTAACACTAATGATGTCTTGAATAATCTCATTTCACTCCGTTTTCCCCAATCATGGATTTGGCAGCCCAGAAAGGCTTCTTTGCACGCCCTGAAAGAGGTGAAGGGACAGGAGTCCTTTATTAATTATTTATTATGATTATTGAGTTTCCACCAAGACCATGCATGTTGGGCCTTTCTTGAATATAAAGTGAAGGAAGGCTTCCTCTGACCTCTTCTCAGGGTGGCTCACAGGAGCTCTCCCTGCACACCTAGGCGCCCTTGGTTGGGTTTTGGGCCCAGCGCTCCAGAAAGACTGGGCCTCAGGGACCTAGCCGCGCTGGGCAGCTGGAGGCGGCGCTCTCCTGGCGCCTCTGGGGAGCGGGCTCTGAAGGAGGCGAGGCCGCAGGAGGTACTGTCCAGGACTCTGCAACCGTTCGCGCTGGGTCTGGCTGCACGCTCCATGCCCCACGCCCAAGTAGGCCTTGTCCTCTCCCAAGGCCCGGCCGGACGCACCGGCCTCCTTTGGCCTTGGGGTTCCCTGGAAACCCAGGACACAGCGCCATCGCCCCAGCTCTGGTTCTACTTCGGTGACCTCCGACCTGCCTCGGGGTCGTCTGAATACAGCCCTAGCCCCTGTCGAGCGGGGTTAGAGGTGGGCTGGATCCGCAGGTCGGACCCTGGAGCCGACGGGCCAGGCCACGCGACCACTCGGAGCGCACCCCACCCCAGGGCAGAGGCTTATTGTGAAAGCCATGGGTTCATCCACGAGGATCCCCGTAAAGAAGGAGCGCGGCCCAAGGCCCGAGCCCTTTCAGCGGGACCGACCTAAACAGATTGCCCACGTCCAGGCCGAGGGACCACTCGGAGCGCGAGCCCGGCCACATGGGCGAGTGAGGGCCACTTGGGACGACAGGGAGCCCGGCAGGAGGGCGTGGGTTTGCACCCAGGTTGACTCGGTTCTCCTGTCGAGAGACACGCTCGCGACAGCCCCAGTATTCGCAGAGGGGCCCCTTCTCTCTAGAGCTGGCGAGGGAATGGAAGAGCGCGTCTCAGGTCGGCGGAGGCCAGCGTTTGCACTGTCTCTATCCACCTTCTCCCCAAAGCAGGCAGCCCCTTTACGAATTCTTTACCAGTGGGATTTACTCCAGGAGAAGGGGGCGAAGAGATTGAATAGGGGAGCCCCCTCCATGTTCAGAGAACTACAAAGATCGGCATTTCCCAAATATCGTCCTGGCTTCGATCTTCTCCTAAATTTAACCAATAAAAAATGCTGCTTGATCCAAAGCGCTAAAACTGGTGAGGGGCTCCGGCCTTCACAATTCCCCCAATCCCGCCGATCCTACTTCACAACCATTCCTCCTTTTCCAAAGCAGCGCCCGGCGGACTCCGGAAACACTCTTGGGGTGGAGTGTCGATTATGCCAAAAATGTCCACACCAAATCTAAGTGAATTTGGAAACGGGTGATCCCATTTCTCTTCTCCTCGCATCATGTTCCCCAAATAAACTCCAATGATGAACTTGTAAACGAAGAACAGGAGTCAGTCCGTCTGGGGGACGGAGGTTATTCTATATTACGTTATTTTACTTTATACCTGTTTCTTTATTGATTTGGTATAAAGTCAATCCGCTTTCTATGCTGGGTGGATAAAATGGAGGGGAAAATGCGCACAGAACTAGCGAGAACCATCAGACACTTTTTTCGTGGCCCTTTGACTGCAGTACATGGGAGCAGAGGCCAATGCTCCCTCCTCCCCCCACCCACCCCCCAAGTTGGTACATTGGAGATACAGATACACATTCATCAAGAAGGAAGAAGGTAAGACTATCCCAGATATTTTAATAGTAACAGGAACAAAGATGACGCGAACCCATCAAATGAAACAATACTATTTTCATTCAATTGATCGCAAAGTGTCTTCAATTAATAGCTTGGCACTTCTTTAAAAAGTTTAACAGAAGTCAAACCAAAACATTTTGTACCGACAACACGTCATGGAATAACAGCATCTTCTTTCTTTTAAAATAACTTAATACACTAGAAAAAATATGGCAAATATAAATAAGTTTGTTTTCATGGAGAACAAATAGTTACAAAGCTCAACCGCATACCAAAGTTCAATGAGTAGAGCTTTTCCTCTTTCTTGTAAATTAAAAGGGAAAAAAATATAAAAAAAACAAAACAAAACAAAACCGACAACTAAGGATGCTTGCTAGAGATTTGGGATACAGTTTGCTTAGTCCAGGTTACCCCAGGTTAAATAGCTACATGAATTGAAACAAACAACAAAAAGATTACTTGAATACACCTGTGAGATAAAATGAAATGTTGAAAGTCAACCATCAGTTCACACATTATAGCCAAAATAAACTTTGTTCGTGTGTATCAACATATTTTACACAAATCTAGTGCCTGTATCTAATCTAGCTGGGTGTTAAGGTGAAGTTGATGGGCTAGAGAGGGAAAATAAAGCACTGTCCTTAAATAGGACTTCAGGAAACCAGCAAGAGGGAATGGAAGAAAAGGGCATCAGGAGGGGACTACCATTTCTTGAGCGCCTAGTATGTGTCAGGCACCTTGCAAGGCGCTGTGCCTTCATTATTTCATTTGGTCTTGTTTTCTTTTTCCTTTCCCTGTATTTTCTTCCTCCGTCTTCTTGGGACAATCAGAATGTAAATATTTCCCCTTCCGACTTTTTTCTTTTGTCCCCAGGACCAAAGAGGGGGCAAATTATATATATTTATACTCATATATTAATTTACAGACGCTTTGGGTATTGTTTTTTTTGTACTGAGGATGAAAATGGAGTGCAAGTGAAAGAAGGGTAGGGAGGAGGGAGGGGGAAACACCATCAATGGAATACAAATAACATGCAAACCGGGATTTTCTGTCAGCAGTCCCGACAGTTTTGCCGATATAATTTCTCAGAGAAATCTTTGTGGCATCATTTTTTATATTAGCTTTTTTTTCTCTCGCCTCGTTTTTGTTCTGTCTTCCCTCTTCTTGCTCTTCCATACATGGTGGGTTTAAACTCAAAGCATCTGATTCAACGTAAAAGGAGGCCCGCCTCTCTTATCAAATTTCTTGTATTAAAGTGAACTTCGCAGAAAAAAGGTCAGTTTCAAAACCTGTGAACTTCCCAGCTGCGCACTTTTATTCATCTTAATTCTTTAAATAAGTATACCTCTTTTTTTGTTTGTTTTGCCTTCTTAACCCATTTTAAAAACACATACTTTAAGTTGGTAACTCGCCCATTCTCTCTAGATTCGTCCAGGTTTATTTTTCCATGTTTCTAAATGTATAAAATAATTTTTAAAATATTTTTGATCCTTGGCTCGCTCTCCGATTTCAGCTTCTGCCAAATAGCAATAAGTTCACTTTCTCTTTTTCTCTCTGGTTTGCCTTTTCTATTTTTGTTGTTCGCTTGTTTTTGTTTTTGCTCATTTTGAATAACAGGGTTTTTATTTCTATGCCAAAGTCCATCGCTGCAGCTTTGCCTAGAGCCACAACTCCACTCGCTCAGCGCTTTCTTGTCCTGTCTCTCTCCAGACTTTCCCAAACCCGCCCCTACGAAGTCGAATCCTAGACCCCCGGGGGGGAAGGGGTGTGTGGCGCCTAGCGGGATGCAGGTCCGCGTTGAGTCCACCCTCTAAGCGCCGGGTGCGGAAGTGGGCAGAGGCAGGCTGTGGGGCTGGAGGGCCGGCTGCAGAGGCCGGAGGGTCACGGAGAAGCATTGGACGCGGAGGGCGTGCAGGCTGCACGCCGCGCCGGAGGCGCGACGTTGGCACTGGCGTTGGCGTCACAGGCCCAGGGCGGCCGCGTGCTTTTTGGCTTTCAGTCTAAGATCGGCGATGCTGGAATTCTTGCTGGTGGTCTTTGCGGCAGCGGCTGCAGCTACCACCGAAGCTGCAGAGGCCGAATCGGCCGCCAACGTGGCGAGCGGCAGTCCGAAGGGCGGCGCCGGGAACATCATGTAGGGCGCGTGCGCGGCCAGGTGCGGGTGCAGGTGGTGGTGCGCGTGCGCCACGGCGCTGTCCAGCTGCAGCTGCGCCTGAACCTGAAAGGACAAGGGCGTCACGTTGCAATGACTATCCTAGGGTGACAACGAGAATAGAAACAGAGCATTAACGGCGTCCAGCTCGACTGGGGGGGGGGGGGTACAGGGGGGGGGGGGGGGGGGGGGAAGTACAGGGTGGGGGGAAGGGAAGGGATTGTTTGGCTGTGCGTCTTGCCCTGAGAGTGACCTTCTCAGCCTATTACTGAATCTGGGGCGCCACAGGATATTCCAGTGACCTAGGTTTCCCCACTCAATGTGGGCTTATTCTGTACCCCGGAAACCCCCATCTGTAGAAACGTGGCTGCCCCTGGGGAGCTGGGTTTAAGAAAGGGCAACAAATTATTATGTTAAAAACTCACCCTTCTCATAGTAACAATAGTAACTGAGATCTGGAGCCATTAACCCCTTGCCTATCCTACACCCACTTTCCCCAGTAGTAAAACCCCCAAATGAATTGCCAGTGATCAAACTACAAAACTTTCCAATGTCACTTAGAGAAGTTATTTCATCTTTCCCACTATTGAAAAGTATTGGCTAACAATTTTGCCAACTTTTATTGCCATAAGAATTTCTTATGGATCTTGTTTAAATGCACATTCTGGTTCCTGAGCTGGAATGGACTCGACTGCAGTGGGTTTGGTTTTTGGGGGGCAGCTCTGGTAGCGTAGTGGTTATGAATCGGGCTGCGAACTTTAAGGTCAGCGGTTTGAAACTACCAGCCGCTCCGCGGGAGAAAGATGAGGCTTTCTACTCCCGTAAAGATTTACACCCTTGGAAACCCTGTACAGGGTCGCTATGGGTAGGAACCGACTCGATGGCACTTAACAACAACAACAGCAGGGTGTTCTGTATTTCTAACTATCTTCCAGGTGGTGCTGAACTTGGCTTCACATTCTGAGTAGTAAGGCTTTCCTTCTAAAGGTTCCTCTCTGCTTTTCTTTCATTACCTTTCACTTCAAAAGCCCAACACTGCAGGGTGCCAGAATCCTAGGGCGCCAAGAGAGGTACAAGCTCCCTAGCACTAACACTCAATACATGGGTGCAACCAGGTGTCTTCCCAGACCAGGGCACTGGCAACTGATACTAACTCAGGACATCACACTCACGCCATGCAGGTTCCCAGTTAAAGGTGGGGGAGGTCAGGCTCCCTTCAAAAAGGATTGCTAGAGAATTGGAAGACCCGGAAGTTCAGAGCTTTAAAATTTCCCAGGATTAAATCATTGCTGCCGGCTGTCTTTTAAAAATGTAGTTTTAGAGGTTTCTTTACAGTTAAGAAAGGGAAGACCATCCCTGGGAAGACAAAGCTTCCCTTTACAAGGGGTGAAGTTTTGGTTAAAGAAAGACCTTTAGAAAAATCAAGTCTGTGTTGGGAGGACTTTTATTTATTTATCTTCTGATAGAGACATTGAATATGACTAAGTGGTAGAAAATTCCTGGAAAAAAAATATTTAGAAGGTTGCCTTAGAAACAGTTTAGAACTAACCTCTGCATTAGATCTGACAAAGTGGTCATCAAAGGACTTTTCCTTCCTCTTCCCATGTGTGCAATCTTTAGTGAATTTTTAAAGGACCAGTTACACCCTGTGGGTTCTGATAAGGATAGAAAGTGCTAGGCATGCAGGGCCCTGATACTATATGAAGTTTTAAAGGGGAGTGGGTCCACTATATCATCTTAAAACTGAGTGTCCAACTGCCCATACACCATCTTTGGGACTCAGAGAGAAGGGATGTGCAACAGTTCAAGCAAATACCTAAGTCTTTTTGCAGTTATGAAAGGGTTGAAACTATGATGTACTTGCCTGTTGAAATGGCATCCTTAAAGCGCCTACATTGACATAGGGTGCGACTCTACAAGCTTCAAACTGGCTGGCAGCCCCTATGAGAACACCTGTAAAAGTGGGGGAACAAGACATAGAAATATGAGGTTAAAGCTTCAGCACTATTTTTCAGTGTTCCAAATGGTACCAGGATAGAACGAATTCCTTTGGAATTGAGCTATTATATTTCTAAATTTATGCGGTAAACAGAATACATTTAATTTACTCTAAATCCTTAGAACACTAATTAATTGCCTTTGGAAAAGATTCTTAATTGAAGGACACAGATCATCTTTGAGAAGTTCTCTTACTCTCTGTAATAACAGTATTCTCCAGTGCTCCTTTTACTTTGAATATCAAATGTTGTTTGTATGAGAAGCATACCTTTATGGAGTTGGTTTTCTTGTTTCCTACATTTAGCTCTTCGATTTTGAAACCAAACCTACAACGTGGAGGGGGGAAAAATAAAACCTAGATATTATGATCCCAAAATTTAAAATTCCGAGAAGACAGAAGAGAAAAAGTAGGGATTTAGACAACATGTGGAAGATGCAGCAAGCAAATTTTCAATTATATACAACAGTCTGAATTTTCAAAGTGAAAATGTCAATGAATTAGAAAAATAAAAACAAATTCATAGACTTTTTACAAGACAAAGTGTTTCTTGATAAATTACTATTAGTCCTGGTTTCATCTTTCCACATTACAGAGTCCCTAAGGCCTAAAACTCTCCCTGATACCTGATACCAACGTGATAATGGGTTTAGATGTTTGCCCAGTAAGACGTGAGAAGAATGTGCTCATTAATAGCCTGTAATATTAATTAGCTTCATCTTCAAGAAAAACCAAATGCCAAAGCAAGTAATGACTCTGGGGCTTTTTTTTGGGGGGGTGACATTAGGAATGGGGGAGAGGTAATTAGTGTCATAAAAGCCTCACTACAAAGAAGTTTAGGATTTTTCTGTTCCTCTATGCAGCCGACTATAACACAGTAGCAGAATAATTGTGCCATTATTATGATAATCTAATTTGCTTCCATAGAAAAAGCTACTGCTGGCAGTTAGGGTGATAGAGAAGCATCCAGAAAACAGCTCTAAAATATAAACAGAAGTATGACAAAACAGATAAACAGTAAAGTTCACTTAGTAAAAGAAAGAAAGATTGGGGGAGAGGAGGAAGTGAATCAAGTCACTCCTGAATACGATCCTTCCCCATATACTACTTTTTAAAATAAACTTGCCAATTTCTAGGGGAAGTATGACAGATTTAAAAAAAAAAAAATTAAACATAGCTTACTTTTATTCTCGAGTTTCAACAATATAACATTATTGACAGTTTTACAAATTTATGTTAAAAAACACACGAAGGTAAAATACTGCTTGAGAGCTAGTTCTATTAGGTTTGTAAAAGCAAGCGTCATAACCACCGTAAATCTTCAAAAATTCCCCTGCCGTTTAGGATACTAGGAGGGTGAATTTTGTGCCAGGGTGTTGTCCTTTGTGTAACTCACATGGCCTGAGGCTTCTTGCCTCTTTTTTTCCCCTAAAAGAATTGAACTGAAGTATTAATACTCATAACTATAATAATGATGACCACGTCTTTAAGGGATTGCTGAGTCTCTAGAGATCTCAGTGTACTGAGGAAAGCAGGAGAGGCTTTAAAAAGAAAGCCGTGCTGTTAATGCTGTGATGACCAAGGCAGCTTATTATTACTTTTTTCCCTTCAACGTGACTGCTCTGTTTTTGTCCTGATCCTATTACAAGACTTGGGGAAGCCCCATAAGAATTGTGTATAGTTTGCTGCAGATGGTGGTCTCTGCGCCCAGAGACCCAGGGAGTATCTGTTACAGCCATACTTTGTAACAGCTGCAGATGTTCAGGGCCTAAAACTGCTCCATGTGTTCAAACAAATAATGACCATCATTTTCTTCTAATTTATTATTTGAGCGGAAATACTATCTGAAATATTTAAATTTGTTCTCCATAAACCTGGGAGGATATATGTATATATAAATGCACATAAATGAGTATGTGTTTCTTTTTTCTTTTAAATGCCCCCATAGCCAATGTTTGTTATTACATTCACTTCCATAACCAGTAAAGAAAATGAGCTCCAATCTGAACTTATCAAGTATGACACCTGCTAGGGTCAGACTTTGAAAATGCTAATATTAAGATATGCAGGTGGTTGTTTTAAAATCTAGTTTCTATAGGTTCAGGTTCGCTGCCTTGGTTAAATGTGTGAACAAAGAGTGACCAAAATCCATTTGTTTCTCCTCCATTTCACACACAGTTTGAGATCGACCGCTACCAGCAGACTGTAAATTTCTGCACTTAACAGTTACTAATTTACTTTATAGTCTGTACATCTATAAATCTAATTGGTACATCCGCTTGGCAAATCTAGACCCTGAGAAGCAGACCCTCGAGAAACCCAACTCGCACGAGCTAAATACCCGTTGTAACTTTTAAAGCATCCAGAGATAAAACGTTTTCTGTGGGATTTTGTTTTTAAGGCTTATAAAAGTAGGCCCATTAGGATTAAACCACATTAAAGCCAGCACTAGGCGAGGGGGGTGTGGTTTATAGAAACTCTGGGAGCAAGCCCAGCACAGCTTTCTTCTGCTGGGAACATATGTTGGGAGGGAATAAGAAAGGGGGGCGACAGGACTGAAATCTAGTTTGGAAATGTAACATCCCTTTCCTTCTGCCCTCACACCAGACATATGAACCAACACCCTGGGTCGCCTCCCCACCTCCAGAAGTTCTCTCCCCTTCACTCCCTGGGCCGATCCTCAACCTCCTTGCAGCCATGGTACCTGCACTCGAGCCTCGGACAGGCCCAGTCGCTGGCTCAGCTCCTCGCGCATGAAGGCGTCAGGGTAGTGGGTCTCGTCAAACAGCCTCTCCAATTCATTGAGTTGTTCCAGGGTGAAATTGGTACGACTTCGCCTCTGCTTGATTTTAGTCTGACCTTCGTCCTCCATCCCTTTCGCATCCTCTTTTCGATCCTTCAGCTCCGGGGACACTGGAGGGGGCACCACGGCCGGGGCCACACATGCGTTCATGCGCGCGCGTGCACCAACACCAACACACGCACACACATACACACACACACACACACACACACGGACAAAAATAACATAAATCCCATCACCAGGTTTGCCTCAAAGAAATGGGGATGCTGCTGCCCCCTCCCCTTCGCCCTGAGGAAGAGGCTCCTCCAGAAGCACAAAGGTCAAGTCTGGGTGGACACGTAGGGCAGGGTGGGAATTCAACTCCCCTCCGTAATCTGTGACCTCAGCTCACTGCCTCACTATCTACCCCATCGTCTCCTGCCCACCTCCACCAGCCCCAAATCTATTCCACTCACCCTCTCACGCATTCACTCTCTTCTAAACACGCACCGAAATCAAAAGCGCCGCGCCAGGCTGCTTTCGAAGCGCGGTTCAGGCAGAAGGGCGCGGTGAAGCCACGCACTGGCCTCTCCTGCCAGCCATCCCAGAGGACTGGGCCCTTCTCCCGCCAGCTGTGACTGCTGCTGACTCCCTGCTTCTTGCAAACTTGCTGGTCTAATTAGGAAACAATTGGGCCAAAGGGTCGCGGCGGGAGAGCAAGCCCCCGGTGCTGCGCGGTTTTGGGAGTGGCTTCCCCCGCCGCCCTGCGCCTCTCCAAAGCTTCGGGCAAGTCCCGTGGGCAGCCCCACAGACAGCCCCGCAGTCCCTATTCCCTATCCCGGACCTAGGCTGCCCGAAAACAAGCGGCCACGCCATGTTGGCGACTGGAGGACTCGCCGCCCACGCGGGGCCAGCAGGCAAAAGGCGGAAAACCAGCCTCAGTGGCCCGCGGAACCACCGCCGTTCTGTCTCTTCCTCTCTCTCCCCTGTGGAAATGCAGACTCGACCCTAAATGCTTAAACCCACAGAGATCAACAGGTTCAAGCAGAACATTCGCGGTCCTCGGTTTCTATTGGTTGCTCAAAGCCTTTTCATGCATCCAGCAGCTCGGATGTTTAATAAAATATGCATTTTTTTGCTCTGGGTTTGCACACATCCGTTGATACTTTCCTGTCCTTCCTTTTAAAAACAGGAGCTCTGAGAGCGTTGAGCATACAGAGTCACTCGAGGGATACATTATTTTTCGAACAAGGGGCAGTGAGCCAGGGAGCCTATCAATCTAAACTGCCCTCTAGAACCTTCCTCCTCTGCGCTCGAGTCGGTGACTCGACTTCTAACGTGTCAAGGCTGAGTTTGGATAGTCGAGATGGTTTGTAGTTCTTCTCAACCCCAATTTCTGAGTACTAATGGATGTTAAACATCAGTTCCAGACGAGCTTTGCTGTGTAATTCCGGTCTGCAGAGAAATTAAAATTGGCCCTGAGCTTGAAAGTTACTCCCAGCGACTACACCCGCCGAGGGTTCAGACCCTAACCTCACCGTATGGCGCGCTGGAGAGCCCAGGGCCTATGAGGGTGGAATCACGCGCGGGGTAGGGGGACTGCTTTGGGACTCCTGACAGCCACTGCTCCCCAATGTTAGGAGTATGAGGTGCAGGTTTGTGGGGAGAAGAGTCTCGACTTCAACCCAGAATGGCCCTATAGCTGCGGTGATCCTAAGTGTTGCCTGCATTTCTAGTTCTCAGAATTCGTTTTGTGGACATCTGTCCTTCTGAGAAGGAAGTGGACACTGTAGTAAATATTCGGGTTCAATTGAATAGAAACATATTTACACAGATAGTGCAGTGAAATTTAAATATGAAAACACACCCTTTAGACTCTGCCAAAGGGGTGAGAATGCTTTGTCTATTTCGTGTCATTCACAGAGTGGATAGATGCCTTTCAAACTTTTGCAGCTTCAAAGGCAAAGATGTCCAAATTTCAAGTTGATTAATAGACTTAATATAGTCTCTATTTTGCCCCTAAATTTCCACTTAATGGCCTAAACAGGAACAGACCGTGTTATAAACAACTTAATTGCTTGCTTAAATATGTGATTCTACGCATGCCACATATTTTCTTAATTGGAAAAATATGGCAGCACACCAGTCCACTGCAGGCACCAAGTGCCAAATTAATTTTATTGTTGAACTCCTTTGAATTGGTGCAGGACGCGCCACCACTTAGATAAAACTACTTTCTAACACTTCTCTGGGAGATCCCACCCCCACCCCAAAACCAGCATTGGACTATGCGAAGCAGTAAAGAAAGTGTGTAAATATAGGGGGAAAAAAAACAAAAATCCCAAAAAAGGAACCTAAAGGCACCATCTGGGAGAAGAAACAGCACAGATTTTAGCATGCCTAGACCACATTCTACCTTTGTAGCTCAATGAGAAAGGGAAGTTTGGGCCCCTAAGATTCACGGTCTTGGAGTGGATCCGAGGGGTTTCTAGTGGCGGCCCAAGCCCGTGGGCGACCCTTTCTAAAACTCGGAGCTAGATGCTAGTTTTAATCTGGCCGTCTGCCTGAGTCGTAGCCAGCACCCCGGTCTTCAGAGCTCGGCCTCACAAACTTCCCTCTGCCTTGGGGCTGTCGAGGCTGCGGGGCCCATCTTCAACTGGTAAAAATACATTTTGGTGGAATGGGAATCGCCGGAGCATCTGCGAAGGTCGCGCGCAAATTCCCCACCCACTCACACTCGGCCCCCACCCACGACCGTGCACACCACCGGACTCCAACCCTCCGCCATCACTCTAGCTTGCAAAGCTGGGCTCCATGGGCCCTCACCGAGTCCCGTCTCTCCCCACCCCTACCCGCGGGGCCTCGGGATTCTCTCTGGTCGGAGAGGAGTAGGGAAGGTGGGGAAGGGAACCGCTGCCGGGGGTTGGGCCGTTACCCTCGGTGAGCCGTGGGCTGCCCGGCTCCCTGCTTCTCTCCGCGGCGCCCATGTCCAGTTCCCGGACGGGAGAGCGCCCTCCTCCTGCTCCTCCGCCTGCTCCTCCTCCTCCTACACCTCCTCCGCCTCCTCCGCCTCCGCCTCCGCCTCCTCCTCCGCCGCCACCGCCTCCGCCGGCCGCCCGGACTGCTGGGCTGCTGCGGTCGTCGCGGCCCGGCTCAGCGCAGCCGGGAGCTTCCTTGGCCCCGCGCAGCGGCCCGCTCTCCAGCACCTCCCGGTATGTGATCGCTTCTTTCTTCTCCTTCACTTTCTGGTCAAAAGACTTGGAGACGAACGCCGTAAGTTCTTCCATCGCCGCCACCGCCCGTCTGCCCCAGGCTCAACCTCTCCCAGCCGAGCCCCGCTCTTTTTTTCCTTCTTCTTTTTTTACTGC